AGTTGACTAAATTTTAATTTGTTTTTGTTTTAAATAGCTGTACTTTGCTTTCATCTAGCATCTCCCAGATACAAATTAGATAAAAAAAAAAAATTGTAGTGAACAATGAATTTGACAAAGATTGTAGTAGCATTATTTTTCATAGTGATTTTTGTAGCAAATGTTGAAGGCACTACTGAGGGGAAAATGTCTTGTAGAACATTTTGTCAAATATTTTGTATCCCTAATATTTTTTGCAGGTATAAAAAATGCCTGAGCCGCTGTCAAGTTCAATTGAGCGTTGCTCCCCGTTTAAACAGACAAGTTGATCGGAAGCTGCTTCAATGAGTCTAATAAAATATGTTAACATAAAATATAAAGTACTGAAAACAAAACTAGGAAAAATATGTTATCTTGATGACTCCAATCGTAATCAAAGATTGCATGTTTTTAATGAAGTAATGTGCTTATGATGACAACTCCATCATTTCGTTTTCAACTTTCTTAATTTATAGTCTATTTGTCATCTCTAATAATTAATCGAAAAAACAACCCCTCCTATCGAGAGAAAGATAGGAGATGATAGATACAACCTCTATTTATCTAAAAAAGATGTCATCCTTCCGGTGTCAGTGAATTGATTTTATCACTTTATGTATTACACAATAATCATAAAGTTTTTTTATGTTTACATTTTGGTAAGCAAAACTCGAAAGAAAGTTTGGGCGTCGAATCAATGTCCAATTGGGCTTCTCGAGGATAGAAGAGTGAAGTGGTAGGACGACCAAGGGTAAAAATGTAATTTCACTCTAACAAAAATCTATTAAGAAAGATAATAAATAATTCTAGAAACATCTTTTTATATATTAAGTGAATTATGTTATGATCAAGGGTAAAAATTTAATTTTACGCTAACAAAAATCTACCAAGAATGATATCAAGAAAATTAAATAGTTCTAGAAACATCTTTTGTTATTGTTATTACCATTAACTTATTTTGTTATTACTTCACTTTCTTTTCTTTTGTGAGTTATTGTAATA